AGTAGTAAATATTATTATACATGGTATTAAAAAAAATGCAAATATACATAAATGTAAAAAATGATGTATAAAAAGGATTTAAAGGGACACATTTGTCATTTACCTATTTTATCTCGGGATAAGTTATCCCGGGATTACTATACCACCCATGGGGAGGGATAACTTATCCCGGTACTAATTATTAATCCCGGGATAAGTTATCCCGGACTTGCCAACCAAACAACATAATTTTTTTTTTATCCCATCACTATTTCCTTATTCCCATCACTATTATTTCTAATCCCTCACACCAAACGAGCCCTTAATGTATAATTTGTTGGAATGATATTGTTGCATTTGGCTTTAGTGTCTGTTTGTGGAAATTCTTCTCCTTGGAAGCCAACCGACGGAATTAGCTACGGTATGCAAAGAATTAACTGGTGAAAAATAGTTAAACCATGATCTCTTGTATCCCTCAACCTATACTTGTAGAGCGTAGGTGATCTCAAGTCCCGGATAAGGGAAGATCGTTGTAGTAAATTGACAGGCAGCATAAAAATAGTCAAATTCCAACAATTCATATAGCTGACCCAACTTTGTTTGTTCAAAAAATAATAATTGATTGATCGCTTCTATGTGGCTGCTGTAAAAGCACTATAATTGGAGTAGCATTATTTGGGGCCTTCAGTGTTGTATGTGGAGAAAGCCATTGACCTCCGAGAATACCACCAAGCCTAAAATTCCACTTACGTAGATTTTTTGTTCTGCCTCCCCCATGTCCCTTCTTCAATCTTGTCTATTGTAGACAAGTTTCTTGGTGATAATCATGAAAGTATGTCAAAAGATGTTACTCCCTCTGTCCCATTTTATGTGGCACCCTTTCCTTTTTAGTTCGTCCCAAAAAGAACGTCACCTTTTTATAATTAGAAACAATTTGACTTTAAAATTTCCATTATATCCTTTATGAAATGAATCTCAACCGTAGAAATATATAAGTATTGTTTTAGACCACAAGTTTCAAAAGTCTTTCTTTTTTTCTTAAACACCGTGCCAAGTCAAAGGGTGCACATAAAATGGGACGGAGGGAGTACTATAATTAGTGTTACTTTTCTCATTGAATATAGACAGATTTCTGGTTCCTTTGACAGGTCTTTTCTCTGGAAACCTCTCTTTGGATGTTATGGAAGGATCAAAGTGGAATATGACTCGAAGTGGCTTTTGTGGAATGCGGTCTAAAAAGGTGAATGCTACTCAACCATCCTAATAAATACTTCGTTCCTTTTCTTGTTTGATAATGAGATAAGTCACAGATTCAAGATAAAAAATTCGAAGGATGAGATGACAAAGCCCTAGAACACCAAGAGAATAAGAGGACTTTACTGGGAAAACCAAAATGAAAAAAAAATACATGATAACTGAATATAAGTAGAAAAATAATGGACGGGGCAGCATCTTGGTCAGCTTGGGCCAGCTGCACATCTTAGACTTAGGTCGTCCAACTGATATTGTATGTTTTTGTCTCCTTTGTGACTGTTGATAATCCTTCTATTCAAAAGTTCAGATCTGTCAAGTTGGCTTGGTTAATCCACAAACTAACCCATTTAACCCCTTAAAACAGGTCCCTAAGTGGTCCCCTACCTCCAGCTCCAACTCTTGATTTGTCTGACCCTCTAACTTAAGAGGCATGGGCCAGGTCAATTATTAGATGGTTAGACCCCCTAACTGGACCCAGCTAGGAATTGGTTCATGGCCCACAGACCAACCCAGCCGGGGCCTGCTTGGTAAGACAATCTTTTTAAAAATAAATAGAAAACCCCCACGAGAATTTATCAGATTTATTTGTATACTCAAATATACATGATCTGGATGTGAATGAGTTGAATGATCTATTCCTCAAGTCTATCAGTGAACCATCTCTTCGGACTCGGGATAGTGATAGATGTTAGGTCCTTTCCCCTCATTTTCTACTCCCCTTGTTTTAACTAAAGAACTATCTTTAAATTTGCCAAGTCTTACTTCAATAAGGTTTGTGATGTTTCATTTGCATGCGAGAGAGTCACACTTCCTTTTTTTTTTTTTTTTTTTTTTTTTTTGCATTTCAAATTTTTAATTAGTCAATTAGTAAGAGTGTATTTCATTATTCAAATTTTGCATTTGAACGTTAATGAAGTAATAATTTTTTGCTTTCATTTGCTATGAAACGTTTAATATATCACTAGTTGGCTTTATCAAAAGAGTGATTCTCATATAGCAGGCACTAGTGGTGAAACTTCAAAAAAAACTTAAATGTGTTTGTTATAGTTGACATGTCATTTCTGACTGCTCCTTACACAATATTACGATATAGAGGATATGTTTTGTTTTATCTATTAGTAGCGTGGCTTTTCCTTCTAATTTTTTTTTCTTGCAGTTTGATGGCTTCATTGATTTGGATGGATATGACACAATAGCTCTTAAACTTAAAGGGGATGGAAGATGCTATATTTCTACAGTATGTTCTATGTTTTCATTGAACTGCTGCTATTGATATTTAGATGAACTGTGGAAATAGTCATTTCTCACTAAGAGCCTAACCGCAGATATACACAGAGAATTGGGTCAATAGTCCAGGACAAGATGAAGATAATTCATGGCAAGCATTCGTTTTTGTGCCAAAAGATAACTGGTATATTGCAAAGGTAAGTTCTTCATTTCTTTCATCCTTCATGTGATGTGGAAGCTATATCACATCGCAGAAGGTTCAAATAGAATACTTGTTCAATTTGCTGGGAAAGAGAAGATAAGTAGATTGCTTTTATTGGCTGTGTAGATCCCACTTACTCGTTATGCACCTACATGGAGAGGGAACATAATAAATGCAAGGATGGAGATGAATCCAGCTCGAATCGTTGGTATGTCTTTATCTGTCAACGCAGAAGGTGGAGTTCCAGATGCGAAGTCTGGTCCTGGTGATTTTGGAGTTGAAGTTGATTGGATCAAAGCCTTGCGGATGATGCAGTAAACAAAAGTGGAACATTATAAAGAATGATTGTAAAAGACCAGGACCTTTGAGGCATCCATGCTTATCGGTTGGGCAAAGATCGCAGAAATGCTAGCTACGGAGTTGGTATTTTTGAAGTCATCAATCGGAGATCGGAGATGTAGGAGATACAGGTTCGTTTTCTATGTACCTCAGGAAAGGAGTGAAATCTTACGATTCACTTTGTTGCTTAAATAGACTCTACAACAGTCTACATCACCAAAGTCTAAATTATCAAAAAAAATTCTCTTGTAATAAATTTGGCTCTTCATTTTGATTATATCCTTTGTCTTTTACAAGGTCTGGCAATCAAATATTTCAGCAATGTGCTAGTAATCAGTAATACTGTTCCAAGCAGTGTTTTAAAAGACTCTGTTGGGACTCGCCCTGGGGCGGGGCTCTAGCAAAATGCCCCGAGACTCTAGTGTGGGGCTTAGTTTTATAAGACTTACGCCTTAAGCGTCTGACTGTATGCCCAAAGCACGTCCAACGCTCGGGGCTCGCCTAACAGATCTTACACAAATTATGTGTTAAAATCTTTAGTTAACATTGTTGACCCTCATAATTCTTGAATAAATGAATGATATTTAATAATTTTTTAATTTGTAGAGATAAGAAGATTGAGAGTAACTTGAATAACAAGTTGTAGTATCACATCTTTACTATTTGGTAACACTGTGAAGATGATTATATATTACGTAAAAATACGTAAAAAAAATTTACTTTTTCACTTATCATTGGTCTTCATGGTTTTGTCATATGTCTCAAAATTATCATATTTTATTTAGCTATTTGAAAGTAATGTTGTATAAAGCGAGAAAGAGAGATTTGATATACAAACGTTTTATTTCGATTCAATTGTATACAAATTCAAATTTTATGCATATATACAAACACATAAAATTGAATTGAGAGACTGCCAACGATTTACACAAACGAGAGACTGCCATCGATTTATACAAACGAGAGGCTATCAACGATTTATACAAATATGATGCCCCCAGCTATTTATACAAATTTGATGTTAGTTTGCTATGGAGCGCAATTATATAAACTATAGCTATATCATACAAATATGATTTTTATGTTTGCAAAACTTAAAATTTACTCTAAAAGAAATATTTTTAGAAATAATGATTCTTTTATTATTAGAAAGTTAAGATATTAGATTATTTATTGTATAATCTTGTTAGAAGTTTTATTTTCTATGAGTTTCCTTAATCAGGTTTGTAATTATTTCAAACTATTATTGATGTATTTTTATAATTTTGTGTTATTATATTATTATTATACTATATTATATTAAAATTTTAAAAATCCATAGGACTTACGCCCCACGTCTCAAGGCTTACACCTCGCCCTATACCAAGTAAAATACCCCGCCTTACGCCCCCGCCATTTAAAACATCGATTCCAAGTTTTTTTTTTTGTCAATTAACAATGTTAATATTACTGTAAATTACTAGTGGCATAGCAATGACATTCACAATACAAAAAAAAACATGTAGGACAAGGAGAGAGAAATGTGGGCTCGAGACCAAGATAAGCTACATATATAAAATGCATTCACAACCAATGAAAATTGACTTATTATCATTCAATTACAGAATAACACTTCAAAACAATCCTTTATACGACAAAGTGATTAATTCGAGTCGAAAGCAATTGATGCCTTACCTCAAGAACCAACTCCCCTTAGATTCACTTTGGGATGTATTTTAGAAATATTTTTTAGGGATAAGGCAAAGGTCATTTTTTTTATTCACTGTAATTCCAGGTCTATCATTTATGTCAATGTCCTCCTTTTTCAACCCATAAGGTAACTCCCAATCAAATGCATAAAGAAGATTTGATAATGCAAGTTCCACAGATGCAACCCCAAGTGCCATTGCTGGACACCCTCTTCTACTTGCTTCAAATGGAATAAACTCATAGTCTTGTCCCTTGAAGTCGATATCGCTATTCAAGAATCTTTCAGGCATAAATTCTTCTTGATTTTCCCATATTTCAGGATCTCTTGCAATTGCCCATGCGTTAACATAAACTATAGTTCTTGGTTGAAGTTCATACCCTTCTAGTGTGGATATTTTCATTGATTCTCTTGGTATTAAGAGTGGAACTGGTGGAAATAATCTTAAAGTCTCTTTTATCAGTGCTTTGAAATAAGGAATATTTTGAATATCATCTTCATTTACAATGTTTTTGTTCCCCATTAAATTTCTGATCTCTTCTTGAACTTTCTTCATATCTTTTGGATTCTTGACACACAACAAATAAAGAATTTAGCGGCAATAATATATATAATTGTCGTCATATTATATTTAGTGGCAATAATTGTTGGGTTTTAAAGATATCAATGGAAAATGAAAGGTTGTGACTTTTTCGAAAGATTATTACCTTTTCGAAAGGTTGTGTCTTTTCTAAAGGGTTGTGACTTTTCTAAAAGATTGTGTCTTTTCGAAAGGTTTGTGACCTTTCCTCCATTTTCCTAAGGGTTGTGACCTCTACGATAAGGCACAATTAGTACCTTTTCATTTACTACCCTTTGTTGGCTATAAATAGAGGAGTTTCCTCTCAATTTCAATATAGAATTTCCTCCTTCGTCTGCATACATTTTCTTAAAAACAAAGTAGAGTCTTTGTGTGATTTCGTTGCTGACTTTTGAGTTCGCTGAAGTTATTGAAGTTTGAGGTACCACTATTTCTTTAATAGATTTATCCATTTTATCCTGAGAGGGAATAGTCCACAACCTCGAATTTGATGAGGGGATTAAATTCCTTAAGGGGACAAAGTGAATTTTGTGGACTCGAATATTTTCTTTCTTTTCATGTTTATAGAATTTTTAATTTACTATTCTGAGTACAGGGCAAACAATAATAAACACAGATATTTATAACTAACACATATTTGGCATATGTTAAACTATTAGGTTAAAACAGACAAAAAGTATAACTAGATGGGTCATATTACCATCCAAGCACAAACATGCAAAATCAAATTTAGGCAAAAAATTTAAGAAAAATAAATTAACTTTCACATTTTTTTCAAAAAACAAAAAGATGAGAGATTGCGTTTTGTTGGGGCGAATTGAATTATGACCCCTCATTTTCCTATCTTAATTCAACACATTTTAATTTGCCACAAGAACATTTTGAGCTAATTAGATTAAATATATTGTTTGACCCAATCGTATTTAATCCAAACCACTCATTTGTTATCTTTTTGTACATATATACAATTGTACAAATGTAGATATAAATGTCTATATGCATATATATATGTATACGTATATGTGTGTATGAGCGCGTGTAGAAGTAGATAGGTTAAAGAAATGGAAAATTACCATGATAATTCCTTTTATATCCTCCAAAGACAAATCAATTGGTGTTAATTGCTCTTTTTTTAATTGAAGCAAAAGATCTATAATATCTCCTTCCATGGATTTTGGCCTATTGGGATTGTGATGTTGTTCAATCAGTTCTTCATAAAACTCATCCAAATCTTTGAAACTCTTCTCAAGTCTGTCTGTCTGTCCGGTGAGTTTATCTATCCAATTTAAAGATGAAAAAAAATCATACACAAAAAAGCTTGCCAACATAGCTTCACCTTCATCCACAATATGATTAAATCTCTTCCTTTCATATGCTTCTTCATCAAATCTAACACCAAAAGCAACTCTACAAATAATTGTACTATTAAGTGAAATCAACAAATTACTCAAATTAGTGACTTGAGAATTAGCAGCTTGTTGATATATTTTCTTGATCATTCTTGAGACTTCATCTTTACGAATCGGACCAAATAAATGCACTTTCTTGAGACTAAATAAATGAAGAACACATATTTTTCTCATTTCCCTCCAATAGTCATTGTAAGGTGCAAAGACAATATCATGACCATTGTAAGACAATTTTTGTTGGCCAACAAGAGAGGGTTTACTACAGAACACTAAATCTTGTGTCTTGAGTACTTCTTTTGCTAATTTTGCTGAAGAAACTACAACAATAGGAACAGAAGCAAGTTTCAATGAGAATACTTTACCATATTTCTTAGAAAGTTTCCAAAAATAGATATGAGGAGCCAAACAATCAAATTGATGCAAATTTCCAATGAATGGAAGCCCTAAAGGACCTGGTGGCACCTTATTTTTTCCACCCCTTTTGGCTTTAGGAAGAAGAAAGATGAGGCAAATAGGAATGGCCACAAAGAGGAGAAAAAATATCATTTTATTGTCTAATTATTGCCTAATAACTTGATATGCCTTTTATTATATATATATATAAATGGATATTAGGCTAAACTATTTTTTGTTAGAGCTTTTATAACTTCTATATACTGACAATATAAAAGTATTTCTAGACCATCAGGTCATCAAAGATATAGTAATTACTATAAGTAACTATTCATAACGAGAGGAACCATTTACCTAGGGAATAAGATCGACAATTTTCTACAGAATTTTTAATTAAATTAATAGCGTAAAAAATTGTTATGCTATTAATTAATTAGTTATATTAGTTAATTTTCAAATGAGTAAATTTTTTTTTTTGTGAGAGTTCGAACCATGGAAATAGCCACTAATACTTGTATTAGAATAGACTACTTACCTATAAAGTGACAACACAAAATTATAGAACCACTGAAGCTTGAAAATGACCTTTGTCCTCTAGCAATCAATTTTTTTTTTTTGATGATAAGGGAAACCCGCAGTCGCTATCCTTTGGGTGCGCACAGGGTAAAAACCCCGCTCCTATGCAATAACTCGCAAATCACTTAGGAGAGGTAACCCGTTGGGCCACCCCGAAGGGTCTAGCAATCAATATTATTGTACCATATAAACAGTAAAAAAAATTACGTGACACACAAAATTCTGAATGTGTCTTTAATTTTCAAGATATTTGTGTGCATAACTTAGATATCAAAGGTGAATGCATAGATATCTAGTAGGGATAATAGAACATGTGATTCTCAATTATTTATAAATTCGCCGTATATTAAAAGAGATTTTTGACGAAATGTAATAAAGTATATAAATAGGTGCCATATAAATATAACTAACATTTTGTATTCTGTCAATAATTGGTGATATATTGAAGGAACGTAACATTATTTTGAAGCAATTATATTTATAAGCACGAAATATGTTTAGATATCATTCTAGTGGTATTTCTATATTGAACTTAATTAGAGAAAATGGATTACAAAATGTAAGAATTCTAGTTAACACATGTGATATAACAAATTCTTTGAAAATTTCAAGGAAAGTTTAAAATACTGTAACAAACTTTTTAAGGGATAATAGTAAAAATCTTCTTACGATTTTGAACGTAGTAAACATAACTATTATTTACGATTACTCAAAAAATAAATTATTGTTATTAAGCTTATATTATTCTTGAGAAAATCAAAAGTCTCCCTATACCCGACTATTTTAATGTTCCACATTATATATATAATTGTGAGAGTTAAAGAGAGAGATATATCGAGCTTTTCAAGATAAACCAAGAGAATATCTTGAAAAACTATATGATAATTAAAAACTGTAATATTATATGCTAAATCGTCATTTTAAGGACGACGACTTAACAACAGCATACATATGTATTATGGCGATTTTTAATAACTGTGTATTAAAACCGCCATAATGCTATCACTTTTTGTAGTTCATTATTCCTATCTAGTTAAGGTTAACTGAATAGTACATAATTCGTGTTGAAAAGCAATTGATGAATTCAGATTAACTCAAAAACTACCCTTAAATTCACTTTGGATGTAATTTAGGAATATTGTAATTTAGAAATATTGTTTTGGGATAAGACAAAGGTCATTTTTCTTATTCACAGTGATTCTGGGCCTGCCATTTATGTCAATGTCCTCCTTTTTCAACCCATAACTCCCAATCAAATGCATAAAGAAGATTTGATAATGCAAGTTCCATAGATGTTGTAACATCTCGCAACTTGAAATAGCAAGAAAGAATCTAAGAACTTGAAATAATCATTTTTGGAAAGTATAAGGAAATCTGGAAATTTTTAAGTAAGTTAAAGTTGAGATTTTGGTCAACTTCAATCGACCATAACTCCTAGCTCAGGATTATTTAGGTGTAGTTCCAGATATGGTTGGAAAGCTCTTGGATTTATCTTTCCAACGCTGCCGAGTTTGCACAATTCCGAGTTCGTATGAGTGAGTTACGTCCTTTGTAAGTTGGGCTGTTGGATTAAGGAAATGTCCGAATCCGGATTTTTAAGGGTAGTTTGGTCTTTTCCTTACCCAATTAATTAAATCCATTTTTAGTAAAATAATTGGGGTCAAGACTGAGTTAGTTCAGTTTACGCTTTTAAAAATTAGAGTTGGGGTTTTTGGAGAAAGAACGCAAGAGAAAGGAAAGAAGAAAGCAAGTTTCGCCAAGGACGATCGATTTTGGTTGTGGATTCGCCAAGAAGTTGATCCTACAAGGTTCTTCAAGAATCGCTTGTGGATTTCATCAAGGGGTGATCCCTACGAGGTATGTGAGTATTTCATAGCGTTGGGTTCATTCACCCAAGCGCCAAACATGTTTAGTTCAGCAAAATTCATCCTAAAAGAGTTTGAAAGTTGATGTTCTTGACATGAATTCTTGAATTTGAATGTTGTTCTTGAATTGGGTTGAATTGTGGAGTTTTCGAGATCTTTACGTTGTGTTTTAGAGTTACTTCGAGTTACGTTCTTGAGTACATACGCTGGGTATCGGGATCTAAAATGAATTTGAGGAAGATAATCGAAGTTAGGTGGTTTAAGGCTGAAAAACGAAGAAGGAAAAAGTCGAGTAAGGTTCATGAAACAAGTCCGTGTCGCGGACTTGTTCCCCTGTGAACAAAAATCTGCTCTGCATCGCGAAGAGGACGCAGACTCCTCTGTCTCAAATTTAAATTTGCGAGTAATTATTTAAAACACCTCTGCGTTGCAAACTTGTTCCAAGACAGTGATTTCGTAACTTTTCTCAAGTTTAACTATCAGAAATCATTCCTAAACATCATGAGGTCTTTCCAAACATAAATCATAATCCTTGAATCCATAATTCAATTCAAGGATCAATTAAGAGTCAATTCAAGTAAGAGTTAAGATCAAAGTCAAGAGTCAAGTAAGAGAAGTTCATTTCAATTTTTCATAAGTCTTTTACAAACGTTTTAACTTTGTTTTAAGACTTAAGTTTGAAGTTAAGCAAAGAGAAAAAGGTAAAGTTTGAAGTTCATTTCTTCAAAAGTATATGGGGACTAAGTATTCCCAAAGAGATTTAAAATGTTTTCACATTTAAGTAAGAACGGAAACTAAGATTTCCAAAGAACCTTCGGGCTAGTTTTCAGAAAAGAGTAATAGCTTTCTAAATGAAGCAAGCAGGGAAACTGAGATTTCCAAGATAGCCTTGGAGCTAAGTTTTGAGCACTAATCTCAAATCGCATGAGAAGTATGTTTTTTGTTTACATAAAGAGCTAGTATATTTTTGGGAGTAGTATTGAGCACCGATGGGGAAGAGTTCATACAACTATCAGCCCCCTTAAACCATGTAGCCATCATGGGTAAAAAAGGGTCATACTTTTTAGATGAACCCTTTTTCGAAATAGACTAGTGGATCCATTGGCAGTTCAGGTCTTATACATTTGGCCGGGTATAGGACGCGCTGGCAGCGTGAGGAAGATCGTTGTATCATCACTATAGCTCTTAAGTGATGGTTGTAGGTTAGAGAAACTCCCACATAAGTTATTGTATTTTATATACATCAGTTCATTGTATTTCTAAATACATTTCAGAGTTAATTGTATCTTGCATACACACAGAGTTGATATCATGTTTTCAAACAACTTTTCTTTATATTGCACTTGCTTTTGAACTGCTTTATATCGAAATGAGTTCTGTCATGTTGAGTTGAGTTAAGCCAGGTAAGTTCTTCAGTTTCTCTCAGATTCTTTCAAGCCTATGTTATTTTAGCATTCCAACTCGCATACTCGTACATTCAATGTACTGATGCCAGTTGGCCTGCATCGTATTATGATGCAGACGCAGATAACTAGGATCGGCATTCCGGCGCATCGTTGATCCAGTGAGCAGTCCAAAGTCTGTTGGTGAGCCTCCTTGCTTTCCAGAGGATCCATTTCTTTGCTTTCTAGTTTAGTTCATTAGGATGTTGTGGGGTCTGTCCCAACATCCATCTCAGTTGTTATTAGAGGCTTCATAGACAGTCAGATGTTAGTCCTTTAAGTTTTTTTCAATATCATTTCTTATTGTTAAGACTTGGGTTGCCACTTTTGGCCAAGTTGAATTTTTAGTTTTTAACATTCTCAGTTATCTTATGATTTAGTTCAGTTAAGTGTTATTGATCATTAAGTATGAATATTGTCTTCCGCTAAGTAAGTAAGTCAGGCCAAGGGTTCACTTGTGGCCAACAATGGTCTTCGAGTGCCAGTCCCGCCCAGGGTGTAGGCTCGGGGCGTGACAGATGCAACCCCAAGTGCCAAGCCTGGACACCCTCTTTTTCTTACTCCAAACGGAATTAACTCATAGTATTGTTCTTTACAGTCAATATCGTTATTTAAGAATCTCTCAGGCATAAATTCTTCTAAATTTTCCCATATTTCAGGACCTCTTCCAATTGCTCATGCGTTAACATAAACTAGAGTTCTTTGTTGAAATTCATACCCTTCTAGTGTGGATATTTTCATTGATTCTCTTGGTATTAAGAGTGGAGCTGGTGGAAATAATCTTAATGTCTCTTTTATCACTGCTTTGAGATAAGATATATTTTGAATATCATCTTCTTTTACAATGCCTTTGTTCCCAATTAAATATCTGATCTCTTCTTGAACTTTCTTCATGGCTTTTGGATTCTTGATCAAGATTGCCATTGCCCATATTATCACAGATGCACTAGTGTCTGATCCAGCAAATAACACATTCTACATAAAAATTGACAATTCTTGAGAAATTTTCAAGTGTTATAAAATAATATATTGTATCCGTCAACTACATCAAGAAGTTACTCCATTACTTTCCTCCATTATGAAGATAACCATAACCTCCATAACCTCCACCTTTATAACCATTATTCTTGTAACCTTTCACTTCCATAACCTCCCCATTATATTCATGTTAATGTCATGTTTATGACTAACCTTTTGTATGCCTCTATGTTACACTATAAATAGAGGCATAAGGGCTCATATTGTATACACTTGAAGACTTGGAATAATA